GCCGAGTACCCGTCTAGAAAATAGTAATATTCCTGCCCTGCTAAACTATCCAATATTTGATCAATGAAAGGATCAGGGTAATGATCTTTTCTGGTGGCCTCATTTAGCTTACGATAGTCCACATAAATTCACCATCCAGTGAGTGTCCTAGTGGGGATCAGTTCATTCTTGTCATTTTTTACCACAGTCATTCCACTTTTCTTAGGCACACATTGTACTAGATTCACTTACTTGCTATCTTATCGGATACATTATCCCTGCATCTAATAACTTTATTACCTCCTCTATCACTACATCTCTCATGATTGGGTTCAAGCGACACTGGTGTTGTACACAAGGTTGTGGCCTTCTTCTATATTCTTGTGCATGCAAAGTGTTGGACTAATCCTATAAATGTCAGACATCGGCCAACCAATAACTATCTTCCTTTTTTTTAGAACTATTAAAGACGCTTCAACCTGTAATTTAGACAAATCTACTGAAAGAATCATAATTAAGGTTTTATCATCTCCCAAAAATGTATATCTGAGATGTGATGGAAGTGTGTTTTGCTCTGACTTGGGTGCTACTTCAATTGATGGCTTGGGTGGAGGACCCAACACCTTATTCACGGTTCCCAATTGTCTTTTGATATTCCCACACTTGACACATCCAAAAATTGTACTAATTCATACTCCTCAGCATCACCATAGATTTTATGGTCCATCAACACTCACTCTAATGGATCTCTAGATGCAATGTAGTGATCTTCTGCAGGAAGATCATTGTTATAGCTGACAACTCTTCATACACATCCGGAAATTTCAGTGCCGGTACATATCAAAGACCTTAACTTTATCATGAGCCATCATAGTTAATTTACTTGCAGCTACATCTATCATAGCACATCCAAAGGCCAAAAAGAGTCTCCCAAGAATGAAGGACAGGCACGCTCAAAATTCAATACAACAAAATCCATAAGAAATATCAATGAACCCACTTGGATCAACACATCTTCAACAACAACCTCCGGCCTAACTACTGATCGGTCTGCCAACTATAAGATAATGGTAGTGGGTTTAGGGCTATCCAACCCTAATTTCTTGTACATATATGTTGGCATACAATTAATGCTCTAGCCTAGATCACACAACCCTTGGGCATGAATGTTCTGCCCTATAGTGATCTGAACCATAAAACTTTACATATCATTTAGCTTAGTAGGCAACCTGTTTTGAATTTTGGAACTGCACTCTTCAATAAGTGCTACAGTTTCATGTTCTATTAGTTTCCTCTTGTTCGCTACAATCTCATTCACATATTTTGCATACCTCGATATTCCCTGCAAAACATCAACAGGAGGCAGATTAATGTGAACTTGTTTGAGAAGAGAAAGAAATTTACCTAAGCATTCATCTTTGTTCTACTTTTAGAACTTTTGAAACAATGGTGAAGGTGGTTTTACTTTAGTTGATACTAATTCCTCAAGTGTAACCTTTCCATTCTCACTACTCTTCTTTTCCTGCCATCAAATTTTATTGTTTCTTTTCTTCGGAGTCAACTCCTCCAATTGCAAACCACTTAAAGTGCCAACAACATTCACCTACCTTGGATTAGGATATGTATTACCTACCAAACCCCCCTTGAGGGCATGAGTTTTGGGCACTAGAAAATTGCCCGAACTATTTTTCTAAATTTTGTGTCATCAATTGATTATTTCTCATATCAGCAGCTATCATATCCATACTTGCACTCGCTCTAGCCTGCTCAATCATGATCTTCTTCAACATCTCCTCACTACTCATGCTTCCTTAATGGCCATTTTGATTATCTCTTTAACCTTGTTGTTGATAATTTTACCTATTACCTTGGGGTCTATATTGATTTTGGCCCGGTGCCTGATTTTGGTTTCCTCCCCAAGAAAAATTAGGATGATTCAGCTAACTAGGATTATATGTATTTCCATAGTTTTGGTTAGCCCCTCATCGTTGTGCATTACCTACATAATTCACAATATCTGGTTTGCTCCACAATAATCGGTAGTATGTTCACCACTTCCACATATCTCGCACCATGTTTGTGGATGTTATACAACATTCACTTGGGCAAGCTATTGTCCCAATGACGTATTGCTGAAATGGATGTTCATCATGTTCTGCATCGTAACAATTTGTGCAGCTAAAGTTGTAACTGTATCTACTTCCAACATTCCAACAACCTTTTGTACTGCAGGTCTTGCGCCTCTTCCATTCCACTTAGGATTTCCGGCCTTGTGAGATTCTATATAGAAAAACGAACAATTCAGCACAAGTCTTCTCCAAAGTTTGTCCTCCTATAGCTGAATCAAGCAAAACTTTTGTGTTTGGTTCCAAACCTTTAATGAAGGTGTGTATCAAAACTTCATTCACTTGATGATGGTGTGGACAACTTAACAACAACGATTTGAATCTATCCTATGACTGGTATAAATTCTCCCCTCATTTCTACTTAAAACTCAGTATCTCGCTCCTAAGCTTGGCTATTTTCCCATATGGAAAGAATTGTAACAAACATTTTCGAGCAAGATCATCTCATGAAGTAATATAGTTCGCTGGCTCTGATTTCAACCACTTTCTTGCTTTCCCTAATAGAGAGAAAGAAAACAAGGTGAGTCTCACATAATCAGGGGATACTCCCGTTAAAGTGACGTGTACGTGTCACAGATTTCGAGGAAGTTTTGAATGTGTACTTGTGGGTCCTCATGAGGTAAACCAGTAAATTGTTCATTAGTGTGCAATAATTGCACCATATTCTTCTTCAACTCAAACCTACCACAAGCAGGTGATTTCTGAATACTCGAAGTAACATTAGTTGTGCATGGATTGCTACGTCACGAACTTTCATCTCTACAATTGCTACAGGTGCTGCTAGTTCGCCCCCAACTAGAGGGACTGGTAAGTTAGTAGTGCTTGTCTTCTCCGGTAGTGAACAAATCTTTCTGGTTTAGTGAGTGGCTCTACAAACTCCTTTTCACCTTCCGTCTTGACGTCCAAAAGCAATCATGAAATAACCAATAGATAAGATCAAGTGGCCAACACTTGAACAATAAACTTAGAAACTAGGTAAATAGAATAATTCTTTATTCCTAAGTTCCTAGCGACGACACCAAAAACTTGTTGTGCTCAAATGCACAAGCAAGTGTTTGTGGTAGTGCAAGTAATAAAGTAGCATTTTTCAAGAGCTGGTTGTCGTACCCATAGAGACTTAAGATTAGATTATATTTGATAACCCTAATTTAAAGCAAGTGTTTCCATAATGGTTGATGAATGATTCTAAATTATTGATTATTCAATGTAAACTAAACTAACTAACATGATTCGATTTAGGGTTGGAGTTAAAACAATGACTTAGGAAATTCTAGGGTTGTAGCCTACTTTGAATTCATGCATACTATCTCCTTTAATGGACTTAAATTGGTTATCAAATTACTGATTTACAGGGTTATATGTATGATCATAGTCTCCCGACCTCTAACCATCTACTGTTATTAGCAGTCTAACTACATCATTGAGCGGAGATAGACTGAACCAATTACCGAGCATTGCATTTTCATCGCGTTTATCAACCAAACAAGGTCTCTAGGTATATCCCTATCCTAGATACAAATCAACCCTAATTCTAGAGATGATCATACTCCTTTTATCTCACGTTTTATCCTGATATTCCTCTCCCGAGTTCAATTCAGACAATAAGTTTATTTCAATGGTTGTCAATCACGAAATACTAAATCAAGGACAAAAGAGAAATTTATGCAATAACCAATTTCAATAATATACAATCATCAGGTAGCTACAGCCCTAGAATAAGAGAATTTAGCTACTCATAATATGATTATCAATCTTCAAGTTAATATTCATAAGAGGAATCGATAAAGGTAAAGAGTAGGAATGAACCCTAAAATTGAAGAAAATAGTTCTCCAAGTCGCAGTTCTCCAAAAGCCAGAAAAAGAATAATTAAAATAATAAAATCCAAGTCTATTTATAGTTTGGAAAAAGTCGGCAAAAAATTAGACCACAGGTCTGCGACGCGCAAGTGCTTGCGAATTTAGATTTTCTTGAACTCTTCCTCTCCGTGACGCGGAGAGGATACGCATTCCTCTGTCTCGACACCATCAATGTGGGAATAATAAATTCCCTCTCCGCGAGGTGGAGAGTGCATGAAGCGGAGGTCTTCTCATTTTGAACTTTCTTTTGATCTTTTGCTACTTTATCTTTCGTGCTTTTGTGCCTAGGCCCAGTTCCACTTCACGTACAATAGCTTTTGTGCCTGTTTCACTTGTTTACCAACCTATAATTACTAGTCATATCGGTTAATCATAATGAAATAATATGACTCAAACACTATCAATAGCACGAGAATTTGTCCTCAAACTTGGCTAAAGCATGGGCGTTATTTGGCTCCTAGGCATATAAATAATCCCAAAATCAAGTATCATAAAAAGAATACTGAAATTAAATCAAATATCGTACCGAAATATATATACACACACACACTACTCTATCTTGATTAAAACGTCTTTTTTGTGTAATGAGTGGAATTCTTTTGTACTTTCTTTTGAATATTTCTACATGGTAAAGTGTTAGTGTGATATAACATATACACTACTCTATCTTGATTAAAACGTCTTTTTTGTGTAATGGGTGGAGTTCTTTTGTACTTTCTTTTGAATATTTCTACATGGTAAAGTGTTAGTGTGATATAAACGTTTCTTGAAATAGCAAGTCATATTTCTGTATTATAAGAGTATATGTAAGTCGAAGTCGAACAAATTATGATCACCGATTCACCATCTTCGCCATACACAAAATACCAAATCTAAACTTAAAAATACCAAACCATACCGAATTAACATAATATGATAATGATATAGTATGTTTAAAAATCGAAATTTCTGATACCTACCCCATGCGCGCAACTCCCTCCCAGTGTGAATTTTTTTCTTAATGTTTAGCTCTTCAATTTGTACTATGAATAAAGTCCATATTTAAATGATATGAAGTAAAACCTCTATAGCTGGTAAAATTAGCATAAAAGACAACTATATAAAACAGATATGAAGAAACAAAAAGCAAAGTTAAAAACCAGTAGCTCTGATTCCTCATACCAAATGACCATACACAGATCTCACTTGTCGGCATAAACTTTTCCTCTTTGTCCTTCCCAGTGAATAAGCAACTACATTTCAGTGTTGATAATCGAACACAGTTACTACAACCTAAATTAGACCAAACACCTTCAAATACCCTGGTAAAATTGCATATTTGCATAATTCAAAGCCCATGTGCCACTAGTAAAACTCATTCTTTCTTGAAGTTTTGCCAAGTGCTTCTTACCGTTAAGATGTGCAGCCATAGCAATCTCATCAGGGCACCTAATGTCACAAAAACTACACCACAGCTTAGAATTATGAGTAGCACCACCAGCATTCTTCACTTGTGTCTGCCTTTGATGTTGCCCGGTAGTAGCTCCCAGTTGGACATTTTCTTTAGGTTTTTTATTAGTGCTGTTCTTGTTTTGTGCTGCAAGTGCATGTTTTACTTGCTTCTGCTTAAGCTCCGGTATATTTGAAGTAGAAGGTGGGTTTCTTTCAGTTTTGGACGTTCTCTTCAGCTCTTCACACTTTATCCTACGTCTTGTCCCTAGAAGATGGCACTTCAAGTCATGCTTTGAGGTGGTTGTCACTTGACATACCGCACAAGTCCACTCTGTCTGAACATTCTTTAGAGGATTGATTTCTGGGAGTTTAATCTCCTTGGCATCTGCTGGAAATGCTGTATCCTTGATCTGCACACCTGTTGTTTTCTTCTCAATCTGAATTGGATGTTCCTTCACACTTTTAACCTGCAGTTCCACAGGGGACGTTTCAATCACTGGCATACACATTATTTTGCTTGATTATAGAAAAAAATATTGTGCCAGAATAAAGGTAGTATTAAAGTTTAAAAAGAATTAAGAGCTTCAATACTCTCCCTTAATTCTTTAGTGTCTTCAGATGTTCACAGGAGAAACTAAAGGGTCGAAAGCTTAATTCTTGATCTCAGAGTGCATTATGACCACGGAAGTTCTAGGGTTAAAAAATAATAACCTGTTTAGGCTCAGCTGCTTCATTAGCACTGTGCTCTGGTTGTGCTGAAGCTACATGTGTTACTTGCTCCAGATTAAACTGATTTAACTTTGTTGGAACTGGTAAACTTCCATCACTTTTGGACGTTTGTTCGCAAGTTTTCAGCCCTTCACACTTTGCTTTATGTTTCCTTCCATTAAGATGGGACTTCATGCTTTGCTCCAATGTGGTTGTCATTTCGCATAATGCACTAGTCCACTCTGTCTGAACTTTCTTTGAAGAAGTAACCTCTGGAAGTTTAAACTCTTCAGCAACTGCTGGAACTACCATTTCCTTAACCTGCAGTCCTGTCGTTTTCTTCTCAATTTGAATTGGATTATCCTTCACAATTTTAACCTGCAGTTCCACAGGGGATGTTTCAATCACGGCATACACATTATATTTGCTTGATTATAGAAAAATGAATACTAGGCTAGAACAAAAGTAGTAGTAATGTTTAAAAAAGACTTACGAGCTTCAATACTCTCTCTTCTTTAGAGACTTCAGATATTCACAGGAAAAACTGAGGTTCGAGAATATACTAACATAATTGAATCTTGCAAACTTCAAGCAGGATAAATTTTACTAAGTGCACCAGTTTAATTTTTGGGCTGTTCGTGATTGTTTAGCATATATGTAGTCTCTGCTTAAGTTTAAGTGATAATGCACTTGATCTCAGAGTGCATTATCAATTGCCATCCTCCACATCAGCCTAATCTTTTGTCCTCATATACAGCTAAGCCCTCATCCTGCTCTTTTCCTAACTTGACCACCAAGAGTATCAGTAGCAGCTAATTAGCTATTCTCATGGGAACATCAAGCTCTCCTCTTTTGATCAAATGCTTGCTTAACATTTGTGAAGGCATAATATCCCAAAATGACCACGAAGTTCAAGGGTTAAAAAATAATAACCTGTTTAGGCTCAACTGCTTCATTAGCACTGTGCTGTGGTTGTGCTGCAGATGCATGTTTTACTTGCTCCAGATTAAGCTGATTTGACTTTGTTGGAACTGGTAAACTTCCATCGCTTTTGGACGTTTGTTCGCAAGTTTTCAGCCCTTCATACTTAGCTTTATGTTTCCTTCCGTTAAGATGGGACTTCATGTTCTGCTCCGAGGTGGTTGTCATTTCGCATAATGCACAAGTCCACTCTGTCTGAACTTTCTCTGAAGAAGCAACCTCTGGAAGTTTATCTCTTCAGCATCTGCTGGAACTACCAATTCCCTGACCTGCAGTCCTTTTGTTTTCTTCTCAATTATAATTGGATTTTCCTTCAAACTCTTAACCTGCAGTTCCGCAGACACCTTAATCGCTGACTTACAGATTACTCTCTCTTGAATATAGAAACACAAAACCTAGGCTAGAATAAAGGTGGTACTTTATGTTTTTAAAAAATTAAGAGCACTAAGTATTTCCCTTTTCCAACGGCTTCAAATTTTCACAGGAGAAACAGACACTAGAGAGTATACAAAGATAGATGAATCTAGTGCAAAATTCAAAAACAATTAATATTACAAAGTATGCCAGCATCAATTTCAGGTTATTCAGTGATTCTTTAGCATACACAAAGTTTCTGCTTGGTCTAAATGATAATGCACTTGATTCAGTGTGCATTATCATTTGCCATCTTTGTCTTGGTCGATGAGCCTAATTTTTATTTTCATAAACAGTAAGCTTTATCTCAAGCTCTCCTCTTGTCATCTATCATCAATTAGCTGTTCGTTTAATATTTCATCTACCAAGGTATCTAGAAGAATACTCGCGAACATATAATACTCCAAAAGAAAAGTAACATGAGGAAATTCAAGTGTAAAGAAATATAACCTGTTTGGGCTCAGCTGCTTCATGTTTTGCCATATGCTCCATCACTGTGATATCTTCCCAAACAGGACCACTCCCTTCACATTGTGTCTGATTAGGAGTACTATGATTGTTATTTATGGGAATTCAAGGAATGAAAGCATGTGAACAGAAAAATAGTTTTTCACTACAAAAGAACACAAGTAATTACTTCTGTTGTTAACAAAAGGAAAATTCAGACTCTTGAATGCTTTATTTGAGAAAACTGATAACTGCATAATGACATTACAATAACCTATTCCTCATGTACAAACAATAGTTCAAGAGTTGAAAGGTACACAACATCTATGCAAACAAAGCATTCACAAATTAACTGGAAATACGCAAATCTCAAAAATTGGTGCATGATACCATATATATGCAAGTCATTTAACTTGTACTCAACTGCTAATGAAACTTTTCAAACCATTATGGGGTGAAAACCCCAATAAAGCAGCAACAAATGAAGTTAAAAATTGTTTCATTAAGTACAGGGAGCTAGGAACAATGGGCGAGGCACCTGGTTGGGGGTAATCCTTCCTGCTTCATCACTAGTATCAGTAGGCTTGATCTCTTCTGCATGATGTTTCGAACTATAATCCTTATACTGCACACAGGAGATCATGATAAGTACATTTGTTGAGAAAAAAATCAATACTCAAGCAGACGTTGCTATAAAATCCAGTGGAATATGCAATCATACAGTTGCTTTAATGGTGGCAATTTAACTTTTGGCTACAGAAATGGGTAGTTGTCTCAACTTTTATATAACTAACTGAAGTACATTACAACCAATTCAGTAATGAACCGTCTACTCCTTGCTGAAGTAATGTCTGACATACCTTGTTTGCAATATGTTTCTCCAGAGCATCCGATCCATTTTCTTTGAGATACCCCTCTACCACAGACAGAAATGTTTCATTCTTGAGAGATTGATCCTCCATTGGCTTGTTAAACCAGTGGGCAACAGTTCGAAGGTTGACAGACAAGCACAAACATGAAAGGCGTAGATAAACATAACAAGAACTATTAAACTGACTGATACTATCGTGCCATTTAACCAGTAAACATGGACGAACTAGAACTTCATAAAGATAACATGCCCCGTTAAACCGTGGTATCACCAACCAACATATGGTAATTAATTTTATATGTGGCCACAGAGGAACCCTGCCAAAGTAAATTAAAAGTGATTAGTATATGCAAGAGGAGTAGTTTCTCATGTTCAACCACATAATTTTCCCCTAATGCTTCAACAAACTCTCTAGCAGTCTAGCTCAGCAAGGGAATTTAAGAAACACAAGCAAGAACAGACCTATAACTACCAACATAGACGAGAACCAAAATAAGTGCATTTTAAGACATTGACGATAAATTTGTTAACCATTAACGACTTCGAGTTTGCCCAATAATGTTAGTAACAAGCTAAGTGTCAATAATTCAAAGAGTTCCATATGACATTACCATTGGATAAGTTTGTCAAATAGGTGTTGGAAGAGAGAAATAAAAGAAAAGATAGTCCAATATATGACGAGCTTCCTCATGTGATACTTGGAGCCAGTCTCAATTGCTCGTATTGATGCACATCTGCAGTTGCACAAAACAATTTACCAGTAAAAAAAAAAAAAAAATTAAATACACAACTAAAATTGAACAATCAAAACTTACATAGGATAGCCCAGAGCAACTACCGGCCTGCAAATTCAAAAAAACAACAGTATCAATACACGCAAAATTCATTGAATAAAAAAAAAAAAAGAATTGATGAATCTTCAAGCTAAAGTTGTTTATTTAAACCTTCTTCTCAAAATTTTCATCTTCTAACGAAACAACACAAACTGGAGTGGAGCGTAGAGAAAGAAAGTAAATCTACCAGGCTAGGCAATCGATCAAGTGAAGCGAAAATCTGAGAAAATCCATTCTGCAAAATTTACTCTTCTCAGGCAATCTCTTTCGTCACAATTTTATTCTACGTCCCTTCGAAGGAACTGATGACTATGGTTATATTAATGGGGAAGCCTAATTATGAATCGAAAGATATTATTGATGATTCCAAAAATCTAGGTCTACGTACTTTGCGTAGGAATCTTTGCTTTTCTTGGAATTTCTTCTGCAGCGTTTTTGTCAGATACACTAATTGTTATGAAAAATTAGACCAAGTCTTGCTCATGCATGTATTATAATATTGTGGAAGCCATCTTCATTTGATTGTTGATAATTTGCCCAATGAGTTGATGGGAAAATAATATATTCTCATCTCTTTTTCCACAATTTTCACTATTACATCAATTTACAAAATCTTTACTCAAGAAAAGCACCGAATTAACTAAGTATTAGCAACTACCACATCTAGAAAAGAATTAACTACAAAATATATTTGTTGCTTAGATAACTCTCAATAAATTGTATTTTCTTATAATCAGTCGTCAATCCGTGGCTAAATAAGATTAGTATGAAATTTATATTGTTTAGTTACTGAATTTATCAATCGCTTAATTATTTCTTGTTTTCTGTTAGTGTACATGCACGTAGTTGTAGAACAAAAAATACACTAGATATATCTACATATATGCATTAAACTTGAAAAATATAAAATAATATATAGAAGTTTTGTGATGAAAACAAGATCACTTAAAACTATTCAAAATCACTTTTTCAAACTTGAAACTCATTTTCAATGCTATTTATGAATTGATGTTGGATATTTAACGAACTAATTAGATTGTTCTTATTAAAAAGAAGGTTCCACACCCTAATAGATATATATATTATTGAAATTAGACGTTCTTTAACTCCACAGATCGAGTTTGGTAAATTCAAGGATTTTGTGCTCTTATTCTATCTTGTTGTACACCTCCCACTTCAATAATACTTTAAGAATTAAGGTGTTTGGCCAGTGATCTGCTTTTTTAAAAAAAAAAAAAAAAAATTAGAGCAGAAATTTAAAATCTGTTTCTTAACCAAAGTAGAAACAAAAGCATAATTTTCAATATAAAAGTACCCTTACCAATTATACATATGTATCAATATATCATGCCTAATTAATTACTAGCCTATATTATATGTTTGGTTAAGTTTCATTTAAGAATTTTATCTTTCATTTTTATACAATTAATTCTTTATTTTATTTTACATTTTATATATTATTATTTTATTGTTTAATATGTGCAATAATTTTTTAAATTTATTTGGCTCAACTTTTTTAATATATTCAAATCATATGTTAATATTATATCAATATTTAATATTTTTATTGATTTATCTATGCATAATATTGATTGAAAATTTGCAATATGTACTTTTTAATTACTAATAAAAAAATAAATTATTTTTTAATAATAGATATTAAAATATTTTTCTCTATGAAATAATATTATTATCATTATTTAAAAAGCATTGATAAATGTTTTTTTCATAATTTGACTCTCAAAAGACATTTTAATATTTTAAAAATCAAACGCAAAACACTTTTCAAATAAATTAGTCAAACACAAATTATCATTATTTTTAAAAATTACTTTTCTGAAAAACTATTTGATAAAAATGGTTATAAAATTGTTGGTGGGGTTCGCCGGCGTTGTGGTCTCAGAGCTCGCTGGCCGGAGCTGTTGCCTTTGCCGACCGGAGTTGCTGTTCAATCGGAGCAGCAGTGCTCTTGTTGTTGTTCCGCCGGAAAAAAAACGGAGATACAAGAAAGGGGGAAAGAGAAGAGAAGCCAGGGGAGAGGGGAGGCAGCCTTCGCCGGCGGCTGGCTGTTCTCGCCGGTTATCGCGGCTGCTTGCGGAGCTTGCTGGACGAAGGAAAGAAAGAAGAGGATAGGACGAGAAAGAACGAGGGGAGGGGGTTGACGCCAGACTGCCTGGCAGTCGTCCTCGACGGCGATGGAGATTCTAGATCGCCAAGTTCGCAAGTTGAGAACAAAAGAGGTAGCATCAGTCAAAGTCCTTTGGAGGAACCAATTTGTAGAGGAAGCTACTTGGGAAGCTGAGGAGGATATGAAGAAGAGATATCCACATCTCTTCGAACCCAGAGAAATTTCAGACCAAGGTACTAATTCTCTTCTTAGTACTCTCTAATTTATGAGTTGACATGTTGTGTTTGCATTGCTTGTTGGGTGTTGAGCTAATGTTGCATGTTAAACCCTTAGCCTAGTAAGAGTAATTTCATTCGAGGACGAAAGTTCCCAAGGGGGAGATATTGTAACATCTCGCAATTTGAAATAACTAGGAAGAAGCTAAGAATTGGAAATAGTCATTTTTTTGGAAAGAATAAAAATCTGGAAAATTGTTAAGCATGTCAAGTTGAGTTTTGGTCAACTTCAAACGACCATAACTTCTAGCTCAGGATGATTTAGGTGTGTTTCCAGGTATCGTAGGAACAATCTTGGAATAATCTTTCCAACGCCGCCAAGTTTGCACGATTTCGAGTTCGTATGAGTGAGATATTCCCTTTGGAAGTTGGGTTGTTCGAATAAGGAAAGTCTAATCCGGATTTTGGAAGGGTATTTTAGTCTTTTTCTTACCCAATTGTTTTAATTAGTTTTTAGGAGTTTAATTTTGGTGAATTCAGATTTTAGTCAGTTTAGAAAAGTTGAAGTTCATATAACTTAGAGCCGTCAACCCTAAACCCAAAAACTCTCTTCTCTCTCTTTCAAGCAATATATGGCGTGAATAGCAGTCATGGCTGCTTCACCCTCTCCCCAGCCAATGGTTGTAGGAGAGACAAATGTCAACCCTAATACATGTCGTATATATGCTTCGGCAATCAGCGGGAACCAACAATCTAGTGAGAAATCTCTCAAACCAGTCATTCTTTTACATGGAGAACCCACAATGGTGTTTGACTCCAAAGACATAGAAACGTTTATCATGGAAGAGAATTTAAAATACGCTCTCATTGCCCAATTCTCACATGGAAGGCCTGAACTTCCAGATTTACGGAAAATATTGCCTCAACAATTAGGATTTAAGGGTGAATGTAACATTGGGTTATTAGAAAGTCGGCATGTGCTCCTACGGTTCACTTTAAAGGAAGATTATATTGCAATCTTTTCAAAACTAGTAGGTCGATTAAGTTCGTTGGTACTGTTATACCATTAAGAATCCAAAAGTGGACTCCCTCTTTTAGTCCTAGGGAAGAAACCTCCATTGCAATGGCATGAATTTCTTTCCCAAGTTTACCCTGTCAATATTTTTCTCGTAATGCTCTGTTTTCAATGGTTTCGGCAGTTGGACAACCTCTTGATGTGGATCGAGCGACCTATGATAAAACACGACCTAGTACTGCAAGGGTAAAAGTCAAGGTGAATCTTTTAAGGATTCTTCCAAAAAAAATTAGAGTTCAATTCAACGATTTAGTCACTGGTGAAATTACAAACGTATGGCAAAAAATCAGGTATGAATATGTACCATATTATTGTAAGAGATGTAAGCATCAGGGGCATAGAGAAGTTGATTGTCAAACTCTCACTCACTGATGGTCAAGTTGATGTCATGGTCAGTGAAAATCATATTAAAGGAGAAAAATTTCAAGGAGATATTCGTGATCATCTCAATGCTAAAAAAATTATTTAAATAGGCTGAAAATTGGTGAAAAGGATGAAACTGTTAAAGATTTAGATGTAGGGGCTGAAAAGAGTGGTGTTCAAGATCAAAATTTGGTGCGCCAAAATTCTGGCCAGCGCCTAAGCAAAGCAATGTTGGACGACTATTCTTCAGGGAATCAAATGTTATCCTTAATTCCTCAAACTGGTGAGTCTTCGCGGCAAAGTTGTAATTCAGTTGATCGTGTTGGAGTTGAAAAGCAACTCGTTGTGCATTCAAATTAGCAAAATAACAAATCCAAGAATACACAATTTGCACAAAAAATTAACGAGGTAAAAGATAATGAAATTGTTGCTGAAAATTCAAGTATGAGGCAAAGTGATAAGCACACTCCTGGGGAACTTCATGATGCTATACAGGTGATAAAATCTGATATGCAACTTGAGAATTTGGCAATTGATGGAAAGGAAAAAATTGCAGAATCTGAGTGTGGTAATTTGAAACCTTTGGAAGCTATCGATTTGCAAGTTGAAATTTCTAGTTGTGATGAGAATGCAACTGGGAATTGGAACACAATTGCACAAAAAAATCAATTTCTATGTGTATTGGTTCCTTGGCAAGTCGAAGTAAATCTCCACGTCTTGAAAATAAGTAACAGGTAACTACTAATCTAGTAGTACAATCTAATGGATCAAAGGACATTGTTTGTACAAATCCGTTTGAAGCACTCAGGGTGGAGAAGGAATTAGAGTTAATTGATTCTAATCCCTCGAAGGAGAAAACTTTAGTTCGAGCCGATCCTGATAGTAATATACAATCAGTTAGCACACCAATTGGTATGTAGCATACGGACCAAAAAATATGGTAATGTTATGAGTCCTACATTAGCTAAGGCTATTCAAGAAAGTCAGGTTGCCATGTTACTCAAACCCAATTCAGCGATAAAGCCACCCATGGTCACATTGAGCATCTCAGCTCATGAGGTCACTTCCCAAAACTTGGATTGACCTGATGAACATCAAGGTGAATTTGGACAGTGCTTATCATCCACAGGGAATGATAAAATTTTGGCGAAAGGTATGTCACCACTCTCTCAAGCTAATTTTACAAATGATTTGTTAATTTCGAAAGAAAAACAACAAGGGGAGATGAGTACTCCTAGGTGGGCTGATTTGGTTGATGAAGAAGAGCATGTTTCACCTCCTCTTTTGAATAGAAAATTGAGTCCACAAGCTCTAGAATTTGTACCTAAAAGTACAACTGCAAAGAAGAATGAACAAGATGCCTTAGCATCAGGATTTAGTCCAATTAATGCTTATGCTAGTGATTTGGGCGATGATTCTTTTGACGAGGATGAGGATGAGGATGAGGATGAGGAAGATAATATGTTGGAC